CTACTGATCCTGCAAACACCCCTCACCCAAGGCAAGCAAAGCAAAGAATACTTCAACTTCACCTCCTCGCCAACTTCCATTAACAAGATTTTGGAGAACAGACATCACTCCTGGCAAGCTGGAACCCGTGCGACACCAGCATCATCAAACTCCACCCTCCGTCGATGACCACGTAATATCCTTTACCTAAGGGTAAGTCCCTAGATTTTTTCTGTTTTCCTCTTTTTTTACACGCCATTTCATCTACCTCCGCGAACACAATTTTATGGGTTTTTTTTTTTGGGACCACACTCGAACTAATTGGACTAACCACGGAAGATTGGGAACTTATATTAGCTCCTGGTTTTCCAGCCCCCCCTCCCCCCCTTACAAGGTTCTGCGAAAAATCGCCCTGTTCCCTACTCGGCTTGCAGCGGTTCTCCCTTCCCTTCTCTGTTTATCCAACCCCAATTAGGCCCACCAGCTGACATCCAGCCAGGTCCCAGTGTGGGGTAGGAGCTATTTTTTTAAGCGTTGAGCTGGATTACATTCTATTGCAATTCCATAGGCTACATAATGCAACATGCCTCTACGTGCTTGCATAAGGTCCCATTGTATTCTGGTGTGAAAGTAAATTTGTTACTTGTAGCAAGAAAAGGGAAATCTTCAATTTTTCTCACCTGCAGTAGAAAAAATGGCAGCGGAAACTTGGTTGACTACTGACAACCCTGTCTCAGAATTTTTCCAGACGATTCGTGCTGCCATTAATCAGATTTTCACTTTGCCATATGCAAAAATGAAAGAAAGCATCTGAGACTGATACATTTCCTGTCTGACTTTTCTAAATGAGGTCCACAGAGCCCAGTGCATTTAAATTGTTCTAAAGGAACATTGCTTTGTTGTTGTTTTTTTACTAAGTGACCACATTTTAGAAGATTGATTGTGAGGCAAAAATTCGATTGCTTCCTAAGGGCAATGAGTACGCTTACCTAACCACACATTTCATATATGATTCCTTATCGTTTTTGGTTTAAGTAAAGGAAAGTACCTTTCGCAGCAGTTGCTATGGATACCATTTATTATCACTTTGTATTTTATGCAGCAGCTGACGTTGTACAGCTATTGTGTGAGTTTGAACTTCCTGACTTTCTCTTTATGAGCGTAGCTAGCTGAAACGTTCAGTCCCAAAAACAGATTTGAATAAAAATGTGTGCTGCTATGCCCCCAATCTGATATCTCTCCATAGCTTTACCCAATACTAACCTTCGGCCTAACACTTAGGGGCTGATGTATGAAAGTATGCTGTTCACATGGCATTCCCCTCACTAGATGGAGCACAGGAATTCCTATGCTTCCTGGCTCAATCTAGTTGTGGGAATGCCGTTTGAACAGTATTCGCCCAGCTATACACTGGGCCGAACATTTGTACATCAGCCCTTTAAAGTTTATCTTAGTTTAGATATTTAATTGCTGTCTGTGACTCACTGTGGACACTCACCCTATTTGTCCAGGTGGTCGTTGTCACCCAAACAGAAAGGGCAGTTGGGTCTGTCCCCCTGGCACGGTGGAAAGGTTTATGGGAGTACTGATGAGGGTGTTAAAGGGAAATAGGGTTGGTGAGTAGTGATGAGCCGAACACCCCCCTGTTCGGTTTGAATTCGAACTTTAGAACATGGGAAAAGTTTGAATTTGAACTCAAACTCAATGCAAGTCTATGGGGGTAGAACTTTGAAAATCAAATGTCCCCATTTTGAAGCCTTATATGCAATTTATTGGTCATAAAAAGGTATGGGGATTCGGGTACTACCCCGAGGGACATGAATCAATTTTTTTTGTTTATTCACATCAAGGTACCCCTTTAATAAAGGGGCACCCAGATGCGCCCCCCCCCCTACCCCTCACTAAAGGGTTAAGTAAAAAAAGAGGCCAGACTTTTGAAAAAAATCCTTTATTTGGAAAAAAAAAACAAAAGGCAAGTATTTTCTTTTTAAAAAACAAAAAAATGGATCCACCGACGTAATCCAGGGTCAATCACGACGTCCAGCGTTGTCCTGTCCGCTTGCGACGTACTCCCGCCGCAGAATGGCATTTTAACAGATGCTGGCAAAATATAAACAATTGGGCAGAGCTAGCGGTGTTCGTCGGAAACACGAACTGCCGATGTTCGAGTCGAACTCACGTTCAACTTGAACATCAAGCCCATCACTATTGGTGAGGCAACAGGGTTGTGATCTGCCTTCATGGCAGGAGTAAGAGTGTGGCCTTATAGATGGGGAAGGGGTGTAGACTTGTCTTACCATATGGATGAGTTAGCAAAGTGATGGTGGTCAGGGAGGCAATGAGGCAATTAAGGCCCAGGAATTTAGTAATGTGAGTGCAGCTTAAGTGGCAGCAGGGCAGTAGAGGTTGTTGGCAACAGCATGGTAAAGGAAAAGGTTGAGAGTTAGGGTAAAGCTATGGCTTCATGGGTCATGTTAGTCAGCGAAATCTGTCCCCATTGTCCAGAAGAAATGTGTGCCAAGGCTAAAGTATTAGTATGTTACTCCTAAATACCAACACCATCTGTTTTACTGTGCCAATGGGGCACCTATCCATAATACAGACTTGCTATGCCAAATGGATAAGCCCACATTAACCCTCTTGTCCACCCCCACTAGTTGAATTAACTACTGCCATTGTGGGGATGCTATATTTAGAACAGGCTTATTAAAAAAAAAAAAACAATCTCCCAAAACAATGGCTCTGGCCTAAACAGGATAATTTGTAGGGTGTTCCAGAGGGTAAGGGAAGTCCTGAAGGAGAGCAAGCATGGGAGGAAGTGATGAGAGAGCTATAGAGCAGGAGATTTGGGGAGGAACGGAGTGGACAGTTTAAGACATATTTTGAAATGAGGTTGGAGATGTAGTTGGGGGCAGAGTTGTGGATGGCTTTGTATGTTGTTAGTATTTAGAATTGTATGTGTTGACCTATTGGTAGCCAGTGGAGGGATTGGCAGAGAAGAGTGGCGGCCACTGAATGATCGGTGAGGTGGATGAGGCAAGCAGCAGCATTCATAGGGTCAAAGTAGCCAGAGGGGATGAAGAGGGAAGTCAAAGAGCAGAAGAGAAGAGCGGGGATTGCAGAGTATAAAATAAGAGAGAACAGTCTCCCATCCATTCTGTCCACCGCACTCAGTGCCCCACAAGCTCCAGGATTCTCTCCCATTACAACGGGGATGCACAGAGAAGGTGGTCTCATGCTCAGGAGTTGAAGAAAACTCATGTCCGGAAAAATCTATTGTGAGTACCTCTACATGAGGTGATGATATCCTGCATTCTCTTAATTTTGTTGACTGCATTAATCCACAAGGCAATGGGTGGAGGATGTGACTGTTTGCACAGTACTGAGATGCCACTCCTACCAGCGTTGATCAAGTGCGGAACTGTTCATTTTTCTCTCAGGGTGAAACTAAAGAAGAATTATTCACCTATTCCTCGGTCACCTTTCTTCCTCTCCACCCCAGCTGAGGTATGTCCCTCTGCTTTTTCACATCCAGTAGACCTGTAGTAGATGTGATGGCATCACGGGTCCTTAGCCTGGTGGAGACGTTTTGCATGTTGTTTCCAATCAACCTTGACAGATTGCGTGCCCATGTCTATGTCCCCCGGATCTGCCCTACACGCTACACAATTTCATCTTCATTAGGGGCTTCACTATCTCTTCATCCTTCATTGCATATCAGTAGTTCCTGTGTCCATTCACTCCACTGGCTGCTGCATGTTGCTTCTCAGGATGGATTTCCTGATGGTGACAAGACTGGACCATATCTGTGTAATGTGCATCAGCCCGGCCACTTGTAGTCTGCAATGAAGGAGCTTTTGACAACGAAGAACAACTGGGAGCTAGTGACAAGGCGTTGTCACCCTATAACAGGAAATACCTGCACAACGCCCTTCGTGCAAGGTATTATTTTATTAAAAGCTTCACATTTAATCTGAGATTGTTAGCTCCTTTAGGGCAGAGACTGATGTTATTGTGCAGTATGTTAAGTGCTGCGTCTATTGTAGGCACTATATAAACGCCTGAAATAAATACAAACCAAAGTCAGGCTGCGTAAAAAGCAAAGAATATGTCAGTTTATATTTGAATGTGTTAGTGCTATAGAACTATATGAACATGCCCCGTACTGACAGCACAGAGAAGTCCCAACTCTGGATTGTCATCAGAACAGTAGTAGAGGGGAACCCTTCCGGTGGGGACACTAGTTATTGTGAATCTGCTGACCACTAGAGATTTCACTCACCTTGGGGAGATTTCCCCTCACTTCCTGTTGTGGCTATCAGACAGGAAGTAAAGGGAAATCTCTATAGGATACAGATGAAGGGGAAAAAAAGTTTTGGCTTCAGTTCTAATTCAAAACTCACTACAAATCTTTCCTGCAGAACAAGAAAACTCAGAAGAAACCCACCCATTTGTTACTCAATCGCATGAGTCTACATGCTATATATAGCAAAGCGGAAAAGAGCAACTTTATATACTGACGTTTAGGCCCCGCCCAGAGTAACTGTCAGACGAATCAGCACTCCATTCGTAGCCCCAAAGCTGGGCTTGCCTCCTACGCTGGCGTTCAGACATTTCATTGGCCAGGCTGCACATCCCGCTGTCGTCATACAGCCCGCCCTCTTACTACACCCACGGTCTGTAACCATGGAGATAGCACGACAGTTTACGCTGTACGGCAACCAGCAACGCGTTAACATTGTCGCACGTAGTGAATGGCCCTAGCACGCGTATCCAAGAGCGCATCCCGGAGAGCTCGCGCGCCGTATACTAATCGCGAAGCATTTTCTGCAGGGGCCGTCGTAAACACCTGTGGGAGTAGCAACATGGGCGCCGTTCACTTCCTCGTTGTTGTACCGGTTTGACATCACGTGCTCTCATTGGCCAGCGGGGTCCCTCGGATGTCGGTGCACGCCCACTGGCTGTGGAGCCGCTTACAGCGATTGGCTGAGGGCTAAGCTTGCGCAGGCGGGCGGTCGCTCGCCTCTCTTTTCTGGTGACGTGAGCCACAGCCGCCATTTCGTGTGACAGAGGAGCCGGGAGAAGGGGGCGGAAGAAGGAAGCTGGTGAAGGGCAGACGTCGGTAAGGGATGATAAAACGGGGAATAATTGCATAATTGGGAACCCTCGTTCTAATAGGAACGGTTTGTGTGGGCTCAGGGGGCACACTTGACATCCCTTTACCATGGGGGAGGGGGATATTAGCCCGGAGATTATGACTTGGCCTATTCTCAGTGTAACCTTCCATTGGACAGTTCCCATTTATCAATGTTATTTTGCATGTTGCTCAGTTTAGTGCGCCAATGTTACTTGGGCAGGGAGGTGGGTTGCAGTTGCCCATGGCAACCAACCAATCGGCTTCTCCCTTCAGTTTTCTCAGTTATGCTCTGAAAATGAAAGAGAGAAGCTGATTGGTTGCCGTGCACAGCTGCTCCAGATCCTGTCAAAGTATCCTTGTTACTTTATTCCATACTGTATACTATGTATCGGAAAGGAAGTTGTACTGAATTTGTGGAATTGAGGAGTTTTGCTAGCCTAGGGTTGGCAAACTCCGGCCCTACAGATGTGGAACTACAAATACCATGAGGCATTGCAAGATTCTAGCAGCCCCAGACATGACTCCCAAGGACAGATGCATGATGGGATTTGCAGTTTCACCACAGTTGGAGGGCCAGCGTTTGCCCACCCCTGTGCTAGCCATATGTCATTAGATTATCGGTCACATGTGCATATGCATTACTTAAAGGAGAACTATAAGATGAGTGATTTCCACTCACCTCATAGTTCTAGCCGACCTGTGACAATGAGACTGTCACAGGTCGGCTCAGTAGATCAGGAGGTGAGCGAACACATACCGGCGTTCGCTCACCTCTCGATCCTGTCACGGCTCTCTGCCGTGACAGGGGAGGGGCTGGATTCCCCTCTCCCCGCTCCGATCTGCCAGCGCTGACTGGCGGAACGGATGGGGAGTGGGCGGGTACAGCTGGCTCTGCCTCTAGATAGGCAGAGCCAGCTGTCACGCACGCAGCTGGGCGGATCCCGTCATCTACGTCAGGATCCGCTCCGGCTGCCGCGTCTCAGTATACCGCGAGCTGTAGCTCGCGGTATACTGAGCTTAGGGTGACGGGAGGACGCTAGTTTGTGTCCTCCCGTTACCCTAAGGAGAACTATGGGGAAAAACACTGACCCCATAGTTCTCCTTTAAGAATGGCTCCTTAGAGATTTGCTGATGTCATCATTGGCTCCACAAAGTTTGTTTCAAGCCATTCCTGCCTGTTGTAATGCATACGGCGGATAGGCCTTAAAGGGTAAAATCACCCTCTCACAGAATGTTAAAAAATGACCTTACAGCACCCCTACCTGTGGCCCCCGCTGCACTTATCTGTGTGTTGCCCCCACCAGACGATGTACTCATCCAAACACCGCACTTCACAACCCTGCAGTCTGTAATGACCATAATGGTCGCAAATGGTGGGTGTTTATTGGTCAGCGAGGTCACATGACCGCACTGACCTATAAGAATTAGAAGTAGGGTAAACTAGTATCGAGTTTTGGAGGTTCCTGACAAATGATCGAAATTTGCACAGTGGTTGCCGCTGTTGGAACCCTTTCACCAATCAGTTGATCAAGAGAGCAGGTTGGAAATATTCTCGGCCGAACGGAGCTTGCAGCCAATCATACCGTTTGGATATTGAAAACACCCGGGGATTCCTCCATTTTCGTTCAGCCGGTTGGACAAAGAAAATATATACGTGTATACCCGGCTTCACTTCCGGGACCTGGCCCCCAGCTCAGTAGCATTTCTTATTGTTCACATGACCACGCTGACCAATAGGTGCTCACCGTTTGTGTGCATTATGATCGTTACAGACTGCAGGGGTGTGGATTGCGGGGACATCACACAGGTAAGTGCAGTGGTGAGAAGGGGGGGGTACTTTAAGTTAATTTTTTTTTCTCACATTTTTACCCTTTAATGACAGGAATCTGCATACAGGCGACCCTGGGTCTCCACTGTTACTATGTGCTGAGAGCAGGCGCCCGGCGTGCTGACCAAGCTGTCGCAGACGATTGGAAGTCAGTGGGTTTGCACCGTAGTATCACCGCCTCCATTCACAAAAACACCTTGCACTTGACTTAAAAAATACAAGGCACTCTGTGAATGGAGGAGGGGCGGGTACGTGACTGGAGCCCTTCCCCGTACAGCCGCATGTCTCATCCCTGCAGTGCTGGGAGTCCGGGGCTGCCTGTGTTATGCAACAGGTGCTATCAAAGCATAGTAAAGGAAAGGGGACACCGTGAATAATTTATTACCCAACAAAAGAGATATTCTATCTTTGTTTTAGTTGTAGAACAGAGGTGGGTAAAAACCCCGCACAGGTTTTCCTTTGCAGTTGTCTTGCTGGGAAGGTTTCCTCTTACTTCCAATCCTGAAGATGCAACAGGAAGTGAAAGAAAATTGTCTATGGAGTGAGGGAATTTCCCCTCAAACTGGCTTTATGCTGCTTGTCCTAGTCAATCGGCTGAAATTCAAGCCGTGTGTGGCCCCATCAGCACCTCGCCAGCCTGAGAATGTGTAGTCCAAGGGTGTGGACGTTATCTACTCCTTAACTGCATTGGAAGTGTGTGTCAAATATGCCTGCTAACGCACACTGAGGCATGACACCGTATATCCGTAACACTGCAAGAATAAAACACGCACAGATCTAAATGGGCCCTAAGGGTCCGTTCACATCAGCCGCTGCAGAGAACGTACATCGGCTGGTGTGCAGTGCGGGACAGTGCTGATGTGCCGATCCTGTGACATCAGGAGAACTTTATTGAAATGTCACAGCTGACATTTCATTGAGGGCAGGTGCAGACTTCGGCCATCCCGGGTCCACGCGATCGTGTGCAGGTGCACACAGCGGTTTCCATGCGGCCCCATAGCTTCCAATGGGGTTACATCCGTGCAGCAATCGCTCAAAAAAGGTGCACGTACGCTTTTTCACATCGTGCAATTTTTTAAATTGTGATTGTGCAGGCATGATTGCGGCGGGAAACTGTGCAATTTTCCCGGGGTGCCTGGGCTGCCATTAGAAGATAATGGCACTGCCAGCGCAATCGTCGGTGGTGTGCAATGCCATGACCGCATGGCCATCTGCGCAGATTCGTGCATGATTCCCGTGAGGTCATGGATCACCCAGGTGTGAACCTGGCCTTAGTTCTATGGTGTGCGAGGTGGTTGTTCAGCATTGCGTTCCAGTGCCTTTTCTGAGCGCACACCAACGCAACGCAATGGTGTGAATAGTGCCTATCTATGACCAAGCAGATTATCTTGTCTTGCGTTGGAGCTTTGCTGGAAATAACAGCCAGCACAGACCCCAACACATGTGCTGTGAATGGGCCCTAAAAATGTGGATTCCCCCTTATATTCCAGTTGGGTTTTCAGTGCACTGGTATATTGGGCTTATGTCAATGGAGATATTTGCTAATGCATGAAATAATGTTATCACAGGCAGATAGGTGAGGGGAGGGACCTCCAGCTACGTGAGGGGAGGGACCTCCAGCTAGGTGAGGGGAGGGACCTCCAGCTAGGTGAGGGGAGGGACCTCCAGCTAGGTGAGGGGAGGGACCTCCAGCTAGGGGTGAGGGGAGGGACCTCCAGCTAGGGGCTAGGGGAGGCATCTCCAGCTAGGGGCTAGGGGAGGCATCTCCAGCAAGGGGCTAGGTGAGGCATCTCCAGCAAGGGGCTAGGTGAGGCATCTCCAGCAAGGGGCTAGGTGAGGCGAGGCATCTCCAGCAAGGGGCTAGGTGAGGGGAGGGATCTCCAGCAAGGGGCTAGGTGAGGGGAGGCATCTCCAGCAAGGGGCTAGGTGAGGGGAGGGATCTCCAGCAAGGGGCTAGGGGAGGGGAGGCATCTCCAGCAAGGGGCTAGGTGAGGGGAGGCATCTCCAGCAAGGGGCTAGGTGAGGGGAGGGATCTCCAGCAAGAGGCTAGGTGAGGGGAGGGATCTCCAGCAAGGGGCTAGGTGAGGGGAGGCATCTCCAGCAAGGGGCTAGGTGAGGGGAGGGATCTCCAGCAAGAGGCTAGGTGAGGGCAGGGATCTCCAGCAAGGGGCTGTTTTTTTTTTTTATTACGGTATCCTAAGAAGCTCTTTTGAGGTGGATTGTATATTCTTATTACTAAAGCCGACCACACACATTGTAATTGCTATACAAGCTATTTAAGCTTACTGACAACAGCCAGGCCAGGACAAATCCCAGGAGTCAGGTCGCCAGTGCTCCTTAAAAATTACAGCTGGCACTTAACTTTGGGGGTTTTCTTTAGTTGTCAATGGAGCTGACTCCTGGATTGGACAGAGTGGCTCCTGAATTCCATATTATTTAGTCCACCCCTGCTGACAACTAGTCTGGGCCTACATATACGTTGGGGGGAATTTATCAAAACTGGAGCAGACCGAATCTGGAGCAGTTGCCCATGGCAACCAATTAGAATCTCTCTTTAGTTTGTTCAGGTAAGATTTGAAAATGAGACAGAGAATGATTGGTTGCCGTGTAAATCTGCTCCAGTTTTTATAAATTCCCCCCATTCTATTTTATCTACGTGATTTTTTAGTTTTATATTGAGCAGAGATTGTCCGTGTCCCCACTGGGAAGATTCACCTCTCTGTTGATTCCCTGTGACCACTGTCGGGTACAAAAAGTGATGGGAAAGCCAACAATTTTACAGTTGTCGCTGGAACCAGAGGCGAGGGGGAACCTACCGTTGGGGACACCTATTCTGGTGACAACTGTCTCTTCCTGTTGTCTCAAGGAGAGGAAGTAAAGGATAATTGCCCTAATGGGACACACATGGAAAAACCATTCCCTTCTTTTTAAAAAGCTTTGACTTTGAAATGAATTACCGCAGGAGTCAGCAACCTTCACACTCCAGCTATGGTGGCACCCCAAATGCCTCTGGGACATGTGCCTGTGGCTCTGAATCTTGCAAGGTCTTATGGGGTATGTCTTTAGCCAGATGACACAGTGTATAGACCTTGATGACTCGCAGGACCTTAGTCCATTGCAGTGGAGGGGGAGAGATGCTTCAAGGACGGTCTAAGAG